GTCAGCCAGCGCAGCTGACTTAAAGCATCTCGAAGCACCATTGCAACCTCCGGCATGCTGCAAGAAAACCTTAGCCTAAGCAGCGCGAACCACAAAGGCACAAAAAACACCCCTCTATACCCACAACCAGAAAAGAGGGATCTGGCGCGGGCTTGCTGCATGCATAACCAGGCGGGCCCAGCTGACATGCCTGCATGAAAACGCGGATCCAAAAGGCACGAAGCCTAAACTCCCTAAACCCTGAACCCTCAACCTGGGAGCTAGGATTAGGGGGACCCTTGGGGATATAGATCCTCTCAATAAGATCCCTTGTAAGAGAGCTAAAAGTAGGGTTCAGAAGGGGTACCCTTTAAGGGGTACCCCTAATAATACACCCTAAACCCTAACCCTAAACCCTAAGCCCTAAACCCTAAACCCTAAACCCTAAACCCAAAACCCTAAACCCCTAAGTACCCCTAATAATAATACTACTTACGAAAGCAAGCAGACATCTTCAGAACAGCACCCAGGGCGATGCCTGCCCTGGTCGACATCGCAGCCATGGGCAACCTCGAAGAGGCAGTCGAAGTGCTTGTTTGGGGTTTAGGGTTTAGGGTTGTAGGGTTTAGGGTTTTGGGTTTTGGGTTTAGGGTTTAGGGTTTAGGTTTTGGAGTATAGGGTTTAGAGTTTGGGGTTTAGGGGTTTAGGGTTGAGGGTTTATCATCCTGCGTTGTTCGTTTCTGCTGATTGTGACTATTTAAGTTTGTTGCTTTGATATAATTTGTGAAGGGGCCTCCTCTTCGCTTGCTATTGCTGCCAGTCGTTATTTGCACCGTTGGTCTTGATAATGTTTTCAGAGTGGTAGCTTCAGTCTGATAACCCTAAACCCTAAACCCTAAACCCTAAACCAATGAGGTCGTTTGAGTTTTCACGGTAGAGGATTAGAGTCCGGGGTTCGGTCGTCATTGGGCGAGTTGCTTGAGTTGCTGGCTTTACTAGCGTTGTAGAGGTTAGAGGGTTTGCAAACCCCTAAATCCCAAGCCCTAAACCCTAAACCCCAAACCCTAAACCCCTAAATCCTGAACCCTAAACCACTGTTTATAGTTTGGGGTTTCTGGGTTGGCGCTCAGGGATTTCGGAGCTTTCAAGAGGGTGGCCTAATTCCTTCAACCCTAAACCACAAGCGTTTAGGGTTCAGGGTTTAGGGTAGGGTTTAGGGTTTAGGGTTGAGGGCCTAACTCCCCGAGCCCTAAACCCTGTTTACAGGATGTTTGTATCTCGACTGAGGACTTTGGGCTGGAGGGCTCACACCAGAAGAAGTCCTCTTTGTTTGATGACCGTGTCAGGTTTATGGTTTGGGATTCAGGGTTGAGGGCTTGATAGGGTGTTTGCATGGAAAGGTTGTAGCATTCTGTCGTGTAGGTCAGAGTTTCCCAAGGTGACTGAATGGGTATTGGAGTATCAGCAGGCTCTTGGCGGGGCCATTGGAGGTTCTTGCACGGGCTAAACCCTAAACGCTAAACCTCTCTACCTATTAGTATTTTAAACCTTATAGTCATTCGTGGCTTCTGATCATTAACTCGTGGCTTTTGATCATTAACTCGTGGCTTTTGATCATTAACTCGTGGCTTTTGTGATCATTAACTCGTGGCTTTTGATCTGTCATGAAGAAAGTTGACAAAATACAGTATCATTCTAGAAGGGCTCCCTTCGAGGGGTTCTATAAGAGTTTAAGGTTTACGGCTTGTTTAAAGGCTCCTTTAAGGGTACCTTAGGGTTCCTTAGGGTTCCTTAGGGTTCCTTTAAGGGTTCCATTAAGGATTCCTTTAAGGGTTCCTTTAAGGATTCCTTTAAGGATTCCTTTAAGGGTTCCTTTAAGGGTTCCTTTAAGGGTTCCTTTAAGGATTCCCTTAAGGGTTCCTTTAAGGGTTCCTTTAAGGGTTCCACTAGAGGCGAGCTGTTGTGCGGCGTTGAAGGGTTTGAATGGTTTTGGGTTTTGACGGTTTCGGGTTTAGAGAATTTAAGGCTTCGGGTTTAGGGTTTAGAAAATTTAGGGCCTAGGGTGTAGAGAATTTAGGGTTTAGGGTTTGGAGGGTCTAGGGGAGGAGCTTTAGAACCCAACGCGTAAGCCTGCATCGTAGTCTCATTCGCACATCTTCCGTAGTGTAGGTGTGTACCATACTGTACCCCAAAACCCTAGCTTAACTGTTAAGGCCCCGAAGTTCCACCCTCAGCAGCCAGAATGTCTGTTTGGTGTAGAGTTGAGGGCTTGCTGGAGGGTCGTGGAACTTAGTAAGTACGGTCGTAAGTACCTTTATTGGGGTTATTTTCAGTACAGTTACCCAGCAATAACCCTAGTTACTCAGTCCTCCTCAGTCCCATGATCCTTTAAGTAAGGCCTACTGTAGGTTTTTGGCATGAGTCAGGGTTGAGGTACGAGTGCAACTGCTTAGCCGCGAAGCCCGAGTTTTCAGTCTGCGGCAGAAGTTTTAGGATTTGGGGTTTGGGGGTTTAGGGGTTAGGCTTTAGGCCTTTGGGGTTTAGGGTTTAGGGTTTGGGGTTCAGGGGTTAGGCTTTAAGGCTTTGGGGTATGGGGTTTGGGGGGGCTTTGGGGTTTAGGGTTTGGGGGTTTAGGGGTTAGGCTTTAGGGCTTTGGGGTTTAGGGTTTGGGGGTGTAGGCTAGTTTGGTCCTTCAATGCTGTCTATGAAGGTCGGCTGGATGGATGGCTACGCCTCTTGGTTGCACCCGTAACGCGAAACCCTGGACCCCTAACCCTACACCCTAAACCTCAAACCTCAAAGCCCAAAGGCTAAACCCGAAACCCCGAACCCTTAAACCCTCAACCCTAAACCCCAAACCCTTAAACCCTAAACCTTAAAAGCCCAAAGCCTAGACCCTAATCCCCCAAACCCTTAAAACACCGAAGTTTGCAAGCAAGCCAGAACCGGGCCAGGGATCCCACTGCCACTTACTTAAGCAATATGCCCTAGCTCGCTTGCACCCAGAAGCCTTATTAAGGGCCCCCACCTTAAGGGGCTATAGGGTTTAGGGTTTAGGGTTGTTATTAGCACCCTTTCGGGGCACCACCAAACACCAGTCGCACGACTTGGGGACTAAGGTTTAGGGTCTTAAGTGAGTATGAAAGGCTTGTGCCAGAACTGCGGCTAGAGCCCCTGGCAAGTTTGCAGAAGACGTGGGTGCCTCGAACTGGAATTCTTCGCGGCACAACCCAACAACCCTATAACTCCCCGGTATCCCTCGGAACACATCAGTTTAACAAGCACAAGAGCCCTAAACCCTAAACCCTAAACCCTAAACCCTAAACCCTAAACCCTAAACCCTAAACCCTAAACCCTAAAACCCTAAAGCCCCAAACCCTAAAAAACACCCTAAGTCTGAACACGGTT